ATATATATCTTTATTTCAGCCACATTAGGCCTAGAAATGTAGAAAGAGAAAGTTCGTTTACAATCCTACTTAACTCAACTCATCCGTCCACATTATAATCTTGTCTACCTCAATACCTTCGTAATAAACTACATATCATACACGAACAGAACATAAATAACAAATTAAAACATAACGCTCCATAAACAATGTCGAAAAACGAAAACTGGTCTCTTCCTCTAGTTACCATTTTCACCTTACCTCGTTTACCTCTCTCTCATCTATTGTATCTCTCTCCCTTCCCTTCTAAGTTCCATCTACTACTCTTATCTCCTCCCTGCAATCTACTTTCTTTGATTTCTTTCATACACGTAGTCTGATCGTAAAGTATCCGACTTTGTACTGTAGCGGGAAGAAATATCATTTCTTTTTTAGTGAATGTCCCGTTGAAGGTTTTGTATTTTGGAAGCAACAACCTTCTTCTAGCGATCCTCTTCTTAAACATTTACGGAACGGAAACACTTCTTAAAGGCATCTTTAAGAATGACGAACAACACTGCGGTTTTCTAACTGTACGCGAGTAGCTTAGAATACTGCCTTATACCTAAACCTTTCTTAGTATCCTTTTTACTCTTCCCTTATTTCCCTTAATGTCATCGCTACAATCTCTTTTTCTATTCTTTCAAATATCTTTCGTGTACCTATGTCACAGTTCTCGTTTAGCGCCTTAATCCTACCCTTCATTCTCTCGGGGATGTCATTTATCTCTCACTCATCTCTGACCTATTTCCCACTCCTCAAACAAACGTATCATATCCCTCTTTACATAATTTACTCTCTTCCTCTAATCAGTAAAAATTTGCGTTTTCTACGTTCCCACATCTCAATCCTGATAACATTTTCATATACCTATCTTATCTAAATATCTTTGGAGGGTATTTCCGTAAGTATCCTCGTATCAGGGGTTTAACTCGAATTTTCCATTTTTCTCGTTATCCTATGATTCTACATGTTTCATCATCTCCCTTGCCTCAACTTGTCTTCCACGTATGTCTCTCAAAGTCCTAGTTTAATTAAACTAATGCTTCTCTATAATACGATTTGTTACAGTGTTGGTTACCTAGTTACAGTTTATTAGAGATTGTACAACGAGAGAACGGCCAAAGGAAAGTCCCAGGCCCGATGAAAAATTTCAAAAGGTAATGGCTATCTAAAACAAATTCTTATATGTCTTTTTCTAATGTGGAATATCGATATGATAAATCGATCATCTTCTGTTTCTCAGGACAATATTATCACTGCCTGCGAAAAAACTCGAGAAGCCAGAAACACCGCCGTCTAGTTCAAAGGCGTCGGAGCCAGAAATCGATTATTTTGATTATCAAGGGTAACCCGTTTGTATCGTGTAAACTATAAATAATATAACTATTGGATTCGGAAAATTCATGGACTTCGTACGGAGAAGGAATGTTTCTACGATGATGCTACGGGTTTATGGATAAGGTAATTAAGATATATATAAAAGTACAGGCGATGATGTAATAAAGAAGAACATTTCATCGATTTACGATTTTTTATTATTATTTATCATTTCTCCTCGAAGAAAATAGTAGGCTACATATAAGTATATATGTATATAATTGTAGCGAGTTTATAACGACACTTCGGATATATAATTTTGTTCATATTAGAAATGAATTTCATTGATATTTATTGAAAATAGAAGAGAGATTTAGTGAAAGACGCTAATAGATTATTTTTATTCTGCCTAAAGGGAAGCATTGTTTGTATAAAGGTGCGTACAGCCTTGATAAACTTCTAAAAATCTTACTTACTCAGTTTCACTTTACGATACTTGATAAACACTTTTATACGCAATATTTGTGTTTCAATATATAATATTCAACGAAATAGCTTAAACATCCCTCAGATCTTTTTACTCCATAGTATAATTATTAAACTTTGTGAGTTTGACAGCACAGCTTATTTTCTCGCCCTCTATGTATTATAATAGTCTGACCTTTGTCAATAAAAATAGTGATTTATTTTGCACTATAATTTTCAGAATCATCCATCAGCTCAATTAATACGAGATCGTTCATTATTGTACATTTATATCATTTTCTTTCTGTATAAATATCCATATAGAGAACTATTTCACACGAATCAACCTTCATAAACATTTAATGTAGGTAACACAAGTATTTGGCACATTGAACATTGATCTAACACGTTTTCTTCCTAAACAAATAGCGAGACCTTTTACGCCTCTGTAAATATATTATAATAAAATGCATAAAAGAGAGTAAAATGCATAAAAATCTTAAGCATGTTAATGTAAATGAAATAGTGTACCTTTTGCAGTCTGTTTGCAAATGATGTACACCAGTCCTTTAATTTACGCGAAATATCTGTTCCACGTGGATTCGTTTCAAGCAAATAAAATGTTAGTACGAAAGAAAGAACGTCGGAAATAAAAGCTTGTAGGTATATAAAAGTTTTAGAAATATTAATTACAAATAGCTTAACAAAAAAAATAATGTGTTATATATATCTGTTATTTTTAAAAATTCTAAGAAAATATATTTTCTGGCCGCGTAAATTAAGATCGCGCACGAAAATTATCGTGTACATTGTGTTATAATTTACTGCGTAAATGAGGTACCGCATAAATCGGGGAAGGGATACGTGTATATATATATATAAGTTTCAATATATAATATTCAACGAAATAGCTTAAACATCCCTCAGATCTTTTTACTCCATAGTATAATTATTAAACTTTGTGAGTTTGACAGCACAGCTTATTTTCTCGCCCTCTATGTATTATAATAGTCTGACCTTTGTCAATAAAAATAGTGATTTATTTTGCACTATAATTTTCAGAATCATCCATCAGCTCAATTAATACGAGATCGTTCATTATTGTACATTTATATCATTTTCTTTCTGTATAAATATCCATATAGAGAACTATTTCACACGAATCAACCTTCATAAACATTTAATGTAGGTAACACAAGTATTTGGCACATTGAACATTGATCTAACACGTTTTCTTCCTAAACAAATAGCGAGACCTTTTACGCCTCTGTAAATATATTATAATAAAATGCATAAAAGAGAGTAAAATGCATAAAAATCTTAAGCATGTTAATGTAAATGAAATAGTGTACCTTTTGCAGTCTGTTTGCAAATGATGTACACCAGTCCTTTAATTTACGCGAAATATCTGTTCCACGTGGATTCGTTTCAAGCAAATAAAATGTTAGTACGAAAGAAAGAACGTCGGAAATAAAAGCTTGTAGGTATATAAAAGTTTTAGAAATATTAATTACAAATAGCTTAACAAAAAAAATAATGTGTTATATATATCTGTTATTTTTAAAAATTCTAAGAAAATATATTTTCTGGCCGCGTAAATTAAGATCGCGCACGAAAATTATCGTGTACATTGTGTTATAATTTACTGCGTAAATGAGGTACCGCATAAATCGGGGAAGGGATACGTGTATATATATATATATATACACACACACACACATATATATAAGTAATTAAACAAAGAACACTAATTTTCCAGTTTTTTGATACCGTATCTAATACTCACATAAGCGCAAACGGCCTCCTATTCTAGACAGAAATTGCATATCACATGTAGGATCACAACACTGTTACGATTTGCGTTTACAGATTAACTGATTACACAAGTTCAGTTACAAAGAATTATTTTTGTTAAACATTTAGTAGTAGGGCACTTGAAAGTTGAACTGGTATCATTAACTACTAGTCGATTGGTGCAGTAGACGTGAAGTAAAAATTTCTTATCTATATCAAGTGTTTTATCTAATATTATCGTACTCTTATATACATATCAGATTTTAGTTATTTTTTAACTTCTTTGCTTTTAAGGAAACGGTAACTCGTTTGTAAAAAAAGATCCGTTATTCTATTACAATATAAAATATTTAATTCGAATGAAAGGAACTGAAAATATCGTCGAAATGAAGTATATATCCAAAACCTAATCTACCTCGAAAAATAGAAATATTTTGTCAATGAAAATATATTCTTTAGAAGAATATCTCCTGTGTAAAACTTCTTTAAAAATGTAATATATATCATTTTTGTTGGAACACACACGTTTATGTTTGGGAACAATATAATGATCTCTGCTATTGCTATATTTATTCAACTGCTACCTGTTTGTTATCAACAGCTACGTTCTAATAGATTATCTAGTCGAACTTAGACGTAAAAGAACAGAACTTGTTCTATTGCACGCTTACAGTGACTTCCATTAATATTCGGACACATTCCAAAACGGAATAACATTTTTAACATTGGGTCAAACCACTTCATTTTCTCTAAGACAGTAGAACGCTTAGTTTATTATATAATGTGTAACAAAAAATTTTAAAAATTGCTATTCGTTGAAGTCTTGAATAAAAAAGTGAAGATCGAAGAGGAAAAAAGATGATTTTTTAATTTTTTATTCGGGTCTCTAATAAAAATTTGATAGTGTAGATATATGTAAGTTATATTCATGTACAATGTTTCATCAAAATCGGTTAATGTTGCCGTGAGCTACAAGCGATCAGTTTAAAAAATGTGTTTCAAATAGAAGTTTCTTTTGTCATTCAAAGATTGCAATATGCACTTTGCATTGGCTATTCTGTATCTTTTTATGCATTACATATAGTATTTATATTTCGTGTACATTCAATTTTCTCATAAACGTATAAAATCCTCAGGCTACTTATAATTCATTCTTGGAAGTCCTATTAAAAAAAATCAAGCCCTTTTTTTCCGAGATTCGAACGAGTAGAAATATTTTCAATTCTTTGTTACATATTATGTAGTAAACTAAACTTGTTAACATCCCAAAGAAAATTCAAGTCATTTAATCCAATATTGAAAAAATTATTCTATTCTGAAGTGTGCCCGGACATTAATGGGAGATTATTAAAATAAATAGAAACTGATCTCTGTATTTCGAAGAAATATACCATAGAATATATTTATACGAAATCGAACGATTTAAACTAAACTAAAATGTAAAGCTTTTCAAAAATATTTACTTTGGCATTGGAAACGTTTGATTATCTTAAAAATATGCATATTGCTTTATATGTAAGGATTGTTACCTCTTTTCAAGTGTACGTTATAATTGGGATAACCGCTTAGGTATTGGTGCCGCGGACTCGCCGACGGTTGCTTAGTGATGCTAGCCATTGCCCATCCTATGATCAGCTCTACACTTCTGCAGAGCGTTTGGTAAATAAACCAGGGCCATGGTTTCGGATACTGGCTGACGACAGGCTGTGAACCGTATTTCACAGTCTCAGCTAATAGCCCTGAATTTGAGAACAAAATTCATGTATACATGTTTTGTAAAAGATAATTATGATAATTGCTTTTGACGTCAGATTACCGTATGGTCCAAAGATACGCGCCACGTCTGCGAGACATAAAATGATTCCCAGAATCGCAGTCGCATAAGTGACGTTCAACACTTTCCGTATCTGAGATCTCCTAATCGACGCCGTGTTCGCTTCTATTTGCAAAGGCGCATCAGACTTAGTCCGATTGACGTACGCAATGTGATTCAATATCGAATGGAGCGTGAAATCGGTATTCTAAAAAAACAATAATAGATCATTGGAGGAAGGGAAAAAACGGATTTTTATGCAGAATGGAAAATTTAAGGTCAGTTAAGAAAATGCATTTCAGATTGCAATTTCCTTCACCATTTAAGCATTGCAATATGCATTTATCCTTTACATTTTGTATACTTTTATGCATCGCGCGCGACGTTTATACTTGCAGCGCATTTAATTATTTTCCAGGTGCATAAAATCCGCAGTCTAATAATGACTCTGTTAAAATGTAAAACGGTACCGAAACTTTCCCGTCGGTTTTGGTACTTTCGGGAAGTAGATTGGTTTCCACAGTTATGTCTTCGACATTCTCTCTTTCTTTCTCGTTCTTCCAGGATAGACTTTTCTTCCGTTTCCCATCGTCGTTTTTATCTTTATTTTTCTCCGTCATTAAAGCCGCCTTTTCGCTGCAGTCAGGCTGGTCCGAATCGGATTCCGACTTCTCTTGTATCTCCATCTTCTCAGGAATTATGGTATTACGACCGTGAGTCGGACTCCTGCTCAAACTTCTTATACTAATATCGCTGCTTCGTCGGGTCAAGTCCAAGGGTTTCACTTTGGGCAGTTCCGAGTTACGTCGATAAGAAATGTCCGAGTTTCTACGTAGGTCGGGTCTAGAGACAAAGCCACTGACATCGGAGTTGCGCCTTGATCCTGAAATAGTAACGATTTGCAGTTCATTTATTTATTTACTTAACAAGATTATTAATTTATACTTCAGTATATTTGACCGATATAAATGTCTTCCTATACACTTCAGATACACGAGTACGTAGGTATTGAAACTAAGTAATTAAAGATAAAACTTAAAATTAATTCCACATATAATTATGTCTGTTTTATGTAAAACAGAGTAATATTTGTATTGAGATTTAAATAAAGTGAATTCAATGGTATAACATTTAAAATGGAAACTTAGATTAGATATTCAAAGAGGTAACAAAATCAAGATAGAAACTTAGGATCAAGTAACAATATTAAGAATATTGAAATAAATTTGTATTCCTTTTTATTCGCTCTTAATTTCGCTCTAATATCTTTTTGGCTACACTTTAATGTTTCAAGCTTTTATAAAAGATATTTAAAATATAAAATCCTAATGTATTTACTACTTTTGTAACTAATAGATTTCTTAATTACAATTGTAAAAGTAGATTTCTATTTCTGTCTTTGTCTGCTGAAGAGAAATATTTGTTTAGTAATTTTCAGTAGCAGTATAAAATTGAGCTAAATAGAAATGTTTGATTAATAGTTAGGAGTCGATTTCAGCAGTCCATGTCATTGTTAATAATTTTAAGTAGTCTCTATTGTAAAGATTCAAGTACATTACTATGTGCACCTTCCCATGTAATAATACCATAAGTTGCAATATTGTGAAAAAGATCATAACACATCTGTATTAAAGACTTCTGGTTCATGATGTTTGTTAATTTTCTAAAAAGAGCAAGTAGCTAGTTTTGATCAGGCTTGGTCATATATCCGGAAGGGTATCTTTCCTAGAATTGCTCATCATCCGAGCGTGCAGCATGTGAGAAAGTAATAGTGTCGACTGTCCAAGCGCGACAATTGAAACAGAAGAAGAATGAACATAGATGAAACTCGAGGTTCTTTCACGAATTGGTAGAGGTAAGTCGTGACCATATATCCAAAAATTACTGTAGATACATTATGTGATAGTTTAATTTTAAATGACTATAAATTCCTTTCGAAAATCCTTGAATGGGTTAGCATAGTTAGCAGGTTTACCTGTAGGGCTTAAATCGATCACTCTTGACAATCTCTGCTCGTTCGGCGGCAACATTCGCCTGGGCGTCCTGTTCCCGAAATCACTGTTCCTCTTCAACTTAGCAGCGAACTGAGAACTTCTGTACCTCTCATGTGAGAAGTCCGAGCATCGTCTCAAATCCTTAACACTTCCCAGAGGCGTAACGTTCTCGGAGTGCCTCCGAATCATCTTATCCGGTGACCGCCTTCTATCAATTTCGGGCGAATGCTTAGGGCTAAACTCGGTATTGCGTCGACAGGAGGACGGAAACCCATCCTCCTCGTTGATAAATCTAACGCTACACTCGGAATTCCTACGAGACGACTTTGAAGCGTCGCTATCTCGTCTACTCGAAGCTACAGAACTTCTACGGCTTGGGCTGGATACTGTTATTATAGGTACATTAGCTGTCGACGGTGTGGGTGTCGGCGGCCGGACGTACACTTCTGGCACCGTTGACACAGGGATCGTTCTCTCCTCTTGAGACGAAATGCTTTTGCAAGGAGACTTGTCGCACTCCTTTTGCATTTGCTCCTCCTCTTTCTTCGTAACCGGATCTACAGAAGTGAAATTAAAGAATACCGGTCCCACAAACTTGATATCGATTTTTACCTTCCGTATTTATATCCGACTCCTTCACGAGAGTACTCGGTTCCGGTATTACTGCGTCTTTCGCTTTAGAATTGAGCAAGGTGGGTACTAAGGCAGCAGCAACAGACGATGCCAAGTTATTGTAAGGAGCTAACATTGCCAATTGTAGGATACCTGAGGCAGGATAATCGTTTATTTGCTGGTCCTTGATATAAACATTAATCAAGAACAAACCTTTCTGATTCGTATTGGAACTGTCCCTCATTAACATGCTACTTGGCACAGTTTTTAACAAACGAAGTATTTTAAATCCTGCGTGTAGAAACGTCAAGTACAAAAGAATACTCCAGGCGAGGAATACCGTTTGGACCACGTATTTCACCATGTAACAATTGTGCGACGTGAGAGCGATGTCACTCGCGATTACGAAAAAAAAGTGACCAGTAATGATCAGACTAAGACAAGATTCTTTCTGAAGTTTTTCTGGTCCGAATTTCAGCTGGAAATTGATTTAATTTTATTTATTCAGACTGACATTTTCTCTTATTTTGTATAGGATTGTAAAGCTACTTGTGTCAGTTGCAGGAAAGCCAATTGTATAAGGCTGAAAGCAGAAGTCACGCATGGGAATCCAATGTCCCAGACTATGGATCCGGTAATCTTCGGCATGATATCTTTCATATTGTACGGATCTATGAACAGACATATCGCTCTCGATGCTCCGAGTATACATAAAAACATGTTAATCGTCGACATGAAAGATCGGCTCGATATAAGAGATCTGTGGAGAAAAAATAGTCGATTTCTCCGATCGATAGATACAATGGCTCACGAGAGTATTTAGACACCTTCTAACACGGAATAATTTTTTTATCATTGGGTTAAATGATTTTAGAGGCTTGATTTACTACATAGTATGTAACAAAAATTGACAAAGTTGCTATTCATCACAATGTCAAAGAAAAATGGAAAATGCATGAGTTTTTTTTATTAACATCTCAAAAATGTAAAATATCCCGATTGTAGTCGTAATTAGGTAATATGCAGGTTGCGGATTTTATTAATTTATGAGAAAACTGAATTTACAAAAAATTATGTATGTGATATACGGAAAATGCATATTGCAATGTTTGAATGATAAAAGAAACTTCTATTTGAAACACATTTTTTAAACTGATACTATAAATAGGTAATTTTGCATAAAAGTCCGCAACTTACTTACATGGATGTACAAAGTTTTACATAAATCGATGAAAGCTTAAAAAATTAAATGTATCGAAATATGTAAAAAATGTGAAAAACTGATTATTGAAATTGCTAATCACTTGTCACTCATAGTAACATTATCTAACTTTGATAGAACTTTGTACATGCACATCATTTATTTAGTTTTATTAACGGGATGTTCCAAACTTCATTAGATGCTCTAAAAAGTTAAAAGTCATGTCTTTTACTTTTTTATTCGAGACTTCGACGAATAGCAATTTTTTTTAATTTTCTATTAAATATTATACAATAAACTAAGCCTTCTAACATTCCGAAAATAATTAAGTCTTTTGATCTAATATTAAAGAAGTTGTTCCATTTCAAAAAGTCTCCGAGTACTTCCGTGAGTCTCTATAGATGTGCGACGCTCGATATACCTTAGATGTAGAATAGATAAAAACGTGTAAAACGCGAGTACAAAGAAAAGGCAGGCAAAACCATAGGTGTGTAAGAAAAAGATCCATTTCAGCTCTTGATTTATCGACACTGCCGACGGACCGATTATCAGTATTTTATCCAAAATCGAAGATGCTGACAAATTCGAGGCACAACTTTGACCAGGTGTCGACGTCGTCAACGATACGTTCATACCTATCGATAATTGGAATTTGATCACCAAAAGAATCGCAAGATAATCAAAATAAGTGTTAACACAATCAACTCATATAGTACGATAAAAAAGTACGAAAACAAACTGACCATGGGTCCAATTTGTTAGTTTATCCATGATCTTCGGTCCGGTATTCACAGAACATCACTGACTACGTTTTTCTGATGCGTGGAATCGCGAGGGTCGAATTGTTATTGTTTTCTTTTTCCAATCGAGGGAGCGAGTTATCGGAAGGACGAACTTTGAAATGTGGCAGCAGCAACAGGCTTTGCTTATAGAGTAGGAGTACGATTATGCACCCCTTCTCCGGTCCATCGTTTCTCTCACCTTATGCCCACTCTGCCTAGAAATATTGATTTTACACAAAAGGGGCTGGAGGGTAGCAGAGCGAGACGTAGGCTTCAGACCGTTCCGAGCCTATACGCTTGTCCACCGTTTATCTTTAGAATTTAAATGGGGCATTACTAAATTTATCAAATTAATTACGTTTCACCGTTTATTATTATCCCGTATCAATAGAATACCGACGAAAAACGCATGTACAGTTTTTTTTTTTAAATAGATCGAATGAATTAAAAATGTTCGAGGGATATTATTAATAAGATTGACAAAGATTAATCGAGTAAATCATCTTTTATTACAATGTTATATTTACATACATCGTATTAAACTCTGAAAGTTTGTTATATATCATAATGTGTCCAGTAGCAAATAAAGCAATAAGTAAAAAATATAATACAAGCTTGAACACATTAGACATATACAAAATAGAGTTTACGATAAGAATTCAGTGATGGGGTCGTACACGTGATACGTGAGCAATGATATCTAATATTAGTCAATGAAGTTGACATGCTCGGACCGCTATTAATTGTAAAAGAATGAATATGGGACTCAAAACTTCGGAGTATTCTAGAGGACTTTGCCCTGACAATTTTTTACAAAGAAGATACTTGAAGACGAATATTGAAAGCAACGAGGTCAAACTCCATGTTACTCTAAGGATCGCTGCCTTGACCATTCCTTCCATGCGCATTCTTATGAATATGATCGCGCAGAAATAAGTGTTCAAAGCATCCGCGACGAACAGCGGCGAAAATACTATCCACCATCCTTGATTGCCTAAGAAATAATTGTCATCCAACTTGAGAGCCAACAAAACTGTGAAGATCGTTAACGAGACCAAATTTATCCATATCTCGAAGATTGTTAATCCCAGCCAGTGCACCAACTCGTTTAAAGAAAATATCATTGTAAATTGACTCTTGTATTCTCTTTTATCATATCCTGAATTTTATGTTCTGCTGATTCTTTTTATATCTCAAACTGCCCACTGAGAAGCACGGATATGTACAGCTAAATTATCTCTATTAATTGTATCATAGTTAATAGTTCATCTACATTCTCATTAAGAGGTTCGAAGTCATCTGCAACAGATGTAAATGTTATTATTGTATGTCTAATAATAGGAATGCAATCTGTATATTTTATATACCAATGATAGACACTGTAGAAGTCCTGATGTCTAATTCTATTCTACCATAATGAGCTTCCCTTAAATGCAGAGCCAAATTACAAACTTTGATAACTGCAATCACAAGACTCTAAATTTTCTATTCTATTGCTTCTGTTCTTCGTGATATTTCAGACTGCTCACTGAGAATTTTCTAAAAGCTCGTATATGCACAGCTGAATTGTTTCTATTAATTGTTTCATAGTCTAAATTATCATTAAGAGGCTCAAAGTCATCTGCAATAAATGTAAATGTTGTTACTGCATGTTTAATAATGTAAATCCAATCTGTCCAATCAAATCTCAAATACTTCATATACCAATGATAGACACTGTAGAAGTCTTGATGTCTAATTCTATTCCACCATAATGAGCTTCTCTTAATTGTAGAGCCAAATTGCAAGCTCTGGTAACTGCAGCTCCAAGACCATGAATAATCACTTCAGACATCCCATTGTTTAATAGTTTTTCACACTTCTTCAACTGGGCCTTATATTGGGAGAAGATAAACAATCTGATTATAAAGTCAATTTACTTCATATAGATAAAGTTACACACAATAAATTAGTTATGTACAATATGAAGATAAAGTATAATGAGAGTAACATAGGATGAATTAAGAATTTAGAAATAAAAGGAACATATTTAAACACAAATGAATAATAAAAACATCACAACTTAGAATGATCATAGAATCTCTCACAACTTTACAGTTTAACCTTACATTAGAAGATAAACAGTCTGATTATAAAATCAATTTACTTTGCCTGTTCAAAAAATGAATTAAGAATCTGCATTTAAAAAATGGAAAGAGCATATTTAAACACAAACGAATAGTAAAAACATGGCAACTTGGAATGATCATTTAAGTTTACATTGAGAGAAGATAAACAGTCTGATTATAAAATCAAGTAATCTTATTAGTACATAGAATGAATTAAGAATCTGCATTTAAGAAGTCGAAAGAACATATTTTCACACGAGTAACTGATAAAAAAATTGTGAATAGGAATAAAGACTCGATTCGAACAGGGCTCGACGAAGACAAGAGAGAAGGTTAATACCTCGTGATAAAAGTTACCTTGAAGTTTGTTTTGTTCGTAACGAATACGTCTTTGATTCTTTTACTAGCTGTACCGAACGGTTGCCTCTTCTTAATAACGTAATCGGAAGACAACAACTTTTTACGTTTCAGTGTAGGCGCGTCCCGTTGCTTCGGAAAACTCTGTTCCAACTCGAGACGTTCGTGAACATCGGCCATTCTGACAGCTTCTGCACGCGTGTTTCCCTTGAGTTTTTCTCCAACAAAGAAGTGACCCTCGCGGAAATCTTCCCTTAATTAAACCACGAGATCGTTAACAAATTGTTCATGCGAGGACCAAATGGTAAACGTGATTACTAAAGTTCGGAATAAGAAAGTGTAACCTAGAGGATTGAAGGCATCGATTAATGGGCGTTTTGAGCACGATTTAGTTCATCGCACCGGAAAGAAGTGACCTGAGTAAAAACGGAGGAATCAAGCGCAATGAAGGAACCTGAAGTGGACCCGAAGAATATTATAAAAAGCAGAGAACTGCTTTACAGGCTCATGATAAGGTTACACATTTATTTAACGCGGCGGAAATAATTTTCCCCGAATTTCATCAGTCAAATTATTTTAACGATTTGTAACTAATGTTTCAGTCAATTATTTTACGACGGACATCAGACACTGGCCGTGCAATTATCAAATATAATCCAAGCGGAACCCCCTTGTCCTCCGTCCGACCGTTTACTGCATTTAATGCTGATCGGGGTGGCCCACGAGCCTGACCGTACCAAAAAGGACACCACTAATTTGTCCTCGTTTGCATCGACTTTTGACAATACACTGGGGCCTGGCCTGGATTTAGAATTCGAGACAGAAGCTCAGACTCAAGCGCCAGAGCCTGCACAGTATGAGACTGCATACGTTACATCCCACAAAGGGAACTGCAGAGCTGGAGCATTTTCTGCAGATGGCCAGTTGATAGCAACTGGATCTGTGGATGCATCAATTAAAATTCTTGATGTGGATAGAATGTTGGCTAAATCAGCACCAGATGAAATGGCACCTGGTGATCAAACAGGTGGTCATCCCGTTATAAGGACATTGTATGATCATTTGGAAGAAGTGACTTGTCTGGAGTTTCATCCGAGGGAACCGATCCTTGTCTCGGGAAGCAGAGACTTTTCGATTAAGCTGTTCGATTTTAGCAAAGCTAGCGTCAAGAAAGCGTTCAGGACTATAACGGATGCGGATCAAATAAGATGTCTGTCCTTCCATCCAACTGGTGATTTTCTAGTCGTTGGAACTAATCATCCGGTAGTCAGATTGTACGACGTTAATACAGCACAGTGCTTTGTGTGTAGTATACCGAGCCACCAACACACTGCTGGAATAACTAGCATTAAGTATTCACCCGATGCGAAAACGTACGCATCGGCTGGAAAAGATGGGAGCATCAAGTTGTGGGATGGTGTGTCCAATCGATGTATAAACACTTTCGTGAAAGCGCACGATGGCTACGAAGTGTGTTCAGTTACTTTTACGAGGAACGGGAAGGTTTGTAGTCTGTATGATACACGATGGGGTTCCTGAAAGTGTTCGAGCACCTTTTAACTCGGAATAACTTTTTTTTATATTGGGCACAAATGATTAGAATTTTCTTTGGGATGTTATAAGGCTTTGTTTCTTGTATAATGAGTAACAAAAAAATTAGAACGTAATGTTATTCTTTGGAATTGCGTAAAAAAGGAAAAGGCATGATTTCCAACTTTTTTAATGGGATCTTTAATAAAAATTTGAAACATCCCGTTTATAAATCTGAATATGTTATATGCATATAGAAACCTCCATAAAAATCGGTGAAAGTATAAAAATGTCCGATCCATCGAAACATGTGAAAATTCTTCAATTTATCTCAGTTGAAGGCAGAAGGTCATGAGAAACTACGATTTTTGTAATTTCTAATTGCTTGTAGCTCATAGCAACATTAACTGATTTTTATGAATCTGTGTATATGCATATAACTTAATTAGATCTACCGATGGGGTATCTAAATTTTTATTAGATAGCTCAATAAAGAAATCAATAAAACATGTTTACTTTTCCTTCAGGATTTCAACCAACAAAAATTGTTAACAAATTTTCGTTATACATCATATAGTAAACTAAGCATTCTACCATTCCACAGAAGATTAAGTTTTTTCGTCCAATATTAAAAAACTTACTCCGTTTTAGATGTTGGATTACTTTCGCGGGTAACTGTAATTCGAACCAGTTTGATTTCTTTATACAGTAATAATTTTTATAAAAAGTGTTTCAAATAGAAGTTATTAGGAACAAAGGTCAAGTTGTTTTTTTAACTAGAATCATATATTTGTTATTATATACTAGGATCCAGCTTATCGTTATCTATAGAAAAGTATTTACTTATTTGTATCAAAAGAACTGTTACTTCAACAACAATGTTGAAACATTGTATGAATTACAATATTAATTATTGTATAAAATATTATATGATCAAATGTTGTGTCAATCATTGGATCAATCATGATATAAAACATTATATCATTTATTGTATCAATTATTATTGCTATAATTTTCAAAGCAGAACAGAAATCACTGAAGACAAATTCCATTCTATCTAATAACTATAAAACAAAGGGTACTCACAAAACGATATTATTTTTCTCCTATTTATGTTATTTCTCTAATAGCCATTGTAATAGATATCACTAAATTCCTTTTTATCTAATTATTATCCATAACTCTCGCCATAAAGAAAAAAATTAATTTCCACTTATAAAACTGAGAAAACGTCGGCAAATTTTGAAAAATAGAAATAATAAATCAAGAAGTTCACTATGTGATCAAGTTCAAACCAGATGGAATTCATCTTCAGCACTTTGTGATCAAGCAGTTGTCTTAGAAACTATAGCAATAATACTATGATTGATACAATAAATGATGTAATGTTTCACATATTACTTGATGCAATAATTGTCACAGTAATTTATACAATGTTTCGTCTTCTGATTGAAGTAATAGATGCTACAATGTTTCATCGTCACTCCAATGTAATCAAAATATCTCTTGAAGTAATAATTTTTTGATGCAAAAAAGTTAATACTTTTTTTAATAGGGGATGATAAGATGGGTTAAACTGATTCCATTTAAAAAACGAACACAACCACCGTACATCCATTAAAAATTCATACATGGAAAACTGATCACATGGAATTATGTGCTCCTCGATATTATTCAATTTTTCATCAAAACCGTTTTTATAAAAACTATTACTTTAGAAGAAATCGGACTGCTTCTCGTTATGTGAGCGAGTTCATGGATCGATTAATATGTAATTATTTATTGGATTTCAGTATCTGTTATCGTCAGGAAAAGATTCGTTGATTAAATTATGGGAACTGTCCACAAGCAGATGTTTGATAGCATATACAGGTGCTGGAACTACAGGTAAAACTGAAAAACGGCAAGCGATTGCAAACAGTATACGACATAAAATAGATCGTGCCATTTTTTATTTCCATGTATGTCTACTGTAATCGATCGGTCATTTTCGATAGGGAAACAAGAACATAAAGCTCAAGCTATTTTTAATCACACCGAAGATTACGTAATGTTCCCCGACGAAGCCACGACGTCGCTATGCGCCTGGAACTCTCGAAACGCTTCGAGGAAGCAGTTACTGTCCTTGGGGCATAACGGGCCAGTAAGGCTGATCGTTCATTCACCGACTGCTCCTGCATTCTTGACGTGCAGCGATGATTTCAGAGCAAGATTCTGGTTTCGAAGAATGCCGACGCATTAATTCAAACAATCACTTTATACTTTTACAATTTCAAATAGTGTTCGTCGAAGAAAAATTATCGAATGTAGAATATCCTTATATTTCATGTCCACAGGCAAGTAAGAAAATTATCAAGTGTATTCGAAACGAAGAAGGACCATTCGATGCACCGTGTATCTTTTGTATCTCGTTTGTATGATTGTCTATGTATCTTCAAGCCACAAACGTGTCATTATAAGAAATGCTGTTGACTGCTCCGACATTCTTGACACGCAAAGACGATCTCAGAGCAGGTTTTTGGTTTCGACACATTAATCCAAACAATAATCATTTCATAGTTTCAAATCGTGGAACGAATCGAAGAAAGACTATTGAACGTAGAATATCATTGCATTTCATGTCCACAGGCAAGTAAGACAATTATGAAGTGCATTCGAAACGAAGAGGAAACATTCGACGGAGCGCGTACCTTTTGTATCTCATTTATACGATTGTCTATGTATCTTCGAACAACAAATATGTCATTATAAGAAATGCTGTTGACGAGGTATCAAAGGAGATACCAAGGTATAAGTTAACTAAGCGAGCTAAGAATAATAATAATAAAGTAAAAGTTGCGAAGGAGTAATTGTAAAGTTTTGAAACGTTCCGCGCGTGCGGCGTCGCTACGCGTCGAACTGCTTGTTCAATCGCGAGGCGGCGCTCTGAACTCCCGCTCTACGTTTGACGATGTGTCACGTGACCCACGCTAACCGCCATCTTTGCTTATCGTATAAACAGTGCCACCGGGCTCACCACGAATTCTTGTCGAGGTACCGCGGTTTTTCCAGTGTTTTTGAGTGATTCAGCCGCGAAGAAATGTCCGAGATCAAGGCAGAGAGCAAGAATGATAACAACATCGCGGATGCGTCGAAGGTAAGCAGACAGGAGCATGAGAAACATCTCCATCAAGCCGAGTTTTCATGCTAAAGCGGCGTGTGCTCCCCTCGTCAACGCGAGGAGACGCTCGTTATCTCGAAAATTCGATAGATCAACGTGTGTTACGCGGACGAAACGTTCGTCGGCATGTAATTGAGCGAGGCGCGAACCCGTGGAAGCGACAACCGCGAGCGGCTTGTTGCGCGTGGCCACGGGTTCGGCGATTTTTCAAAGCTGCGCCGTTTGTCCTTCATTGGCAAAGATGGTGGATGTTTTTTATTTGTGACTGTCGCGATGGTGAGAGCCGCTCGTCGTCGGCACGAGGGCCCGACGGAAAAGGCGGGAAGCGGGTTTCGCCGAAGGGATTACGTGCCGCGAGAACTTCGGCGAAAACTCGAGAACTTTTCAGAAGCTAGCCTCGAGAGGTTGCGACGCTACGAATATACTTATCCACTTGGCAAAATGGCGGGAAACTTAAACAAACTCGGTGCACTCGTCCCCGTGCGGTTCAATGGTCCTTGATAATCTTATCGCGTCTGTAATTATCATAGCGTTTCAATGTTTTTCTCTTAACTCGATGTAATCCTTAAACGGGCGATTTATATTCGAGTCGTAGATAATTGTTTCACCTAATACTACAATTTTCAAATGGAGTTCGAGTGACACTTGAATATCGTTTTGCAGGACCATTCTGCAGAGGAGAAACCCAGTCCAACGAAAAACAAACGAGGGGGAACGAAAAGGCTCTCCACACTCGAAAGGTTGGCCCAGGAAGGAGAAAGAGTCACAAAGGTGAATTGCTTTCTTTATCTCTCATTTCATCTGATGGATTTTTCATCGGTTTATCAGAAATCCGGAAATGCTATTCAGGTCCACAGGGGCCAAGGTTTTCACCCCTTCGCTTCGTTATTTCCCTCTATTTAGTCTCCCTGTCCTCTGTTGCCTACGTGAGCAGAAGAGTACACGGAGTGGGGATACGGTGGAAGGGAGCAGGGGCACAGGGGAATAGATTGAATCTTGAAGTGGGGAGAATTCTCCGCCAATCGGATCATGCCCGCCAATTATGAATGACTATTCGTATTATAATATTGTTCCTTTGCAGGATTTAAATGCCTCTTCCGTCGGTGAAGTTGAAGGAAGGAGGCGTACACGTAGTTCAGCGCGAGGCCTAACCCCATCGACACCCGTGCCATCGCCACCAAAAAAAGAAAAGAGGGACACATCCTCGAAAGGTACCGGTCGTGGACGCGGGCGTCCAAAGCGGCAAGAGAAAAATAATGAGAACAACACGGACGAGGAAGCGGCCAATAATAAGAATGAAAAGCATTCCGAGGAGGAATCGATGAAGATGGATGTGGATGAACATAAAGAGGAAGCCGCGGAGAAGTTGGCCGAGAGTGATGAAAAGATCAGCGTGAAAGCGGAGAGTAACGAGGCCGCCGACAAGGTGGTCGATTCCAATTCCAAGGAGGAGAAGATCGCAGAGGAGTCGGAAAATTCAATGGAAGAACCGAAGAGCTCTAGTGTCAGTGAAGAAAAGAAGGAGGAGGACATAAAGGATAGCTCGGATTCGAGTCAAGATGCAACGGATGCGCCGGCGGCGGCAGCAACAACGGGAGCACCGCCCGCGTCCTCATCAGAGTCCCAAAATCCCCCTAACGCTACTACCACCGAAGAAAATAAGGAATAACCTCCTTTCGCCTGTTTACCAACTTCATGTAAGCACTTTTTTTTTACAATCGTTTCTTTGATCCCTTACTAGCATCGATTCTGTTGAAATAAAATAAAATACGAGAGAAGAGAAAGTGAATGTATGGGCGTTGCATTTTTAAATGTAATTTTATAGAGAAGAGATACACGTACATTTACACACAGGGGGGCTAATTAGCTTTTAGCAGTTAATCGCCCTTTAAACGGAACACTAATTGTAATTATAAACACGCAGTTTGATAATTCGGACATCTACTGTTACAAGAAAGTTTTATCGGCTTCCCATGCATTCTCAATCTGTTCGAAACGGTGTAGGAGCACATGGAATATTAAAATACAAATTATTTAATAGTATAAAGTACGAGTAGTGATAAAGTTTGTATAAATTTTTATAAATCCCTAATAACGTCG